TTGCTTGCGGTGGTATCGCGAACAAGAGAGAGCGCGCCCCAGACCCGAAACACTGACGCATCGCCAGCCTTCCCCGTCCATCGTAGTGTGGGCGAGGTCTCTGGCTCCGAGACACGGGGCCAGAGGTTGAGCTGATGCACATCGTATCGGACCGCAAACGGCCACAGAAAATGGGGGGCAGTCACATGGATCATGGAGGTACGAGCAACCTCCATGATCAAGCCAATGCGACGCTCAGCAATCCCATTCTGTTGAGGAGAGGCCGGAAGCGTGAACGTCTGGCGGATGCCCTCGTCTCGACAGAACCTCGCAAGGAGGTCAGAAGAGAACTCACCGCCCCTGTCAGAGTGCAGACGCAGGACTGGTAAGTCCTGCTGAAAACGCTCGTGCAGCTGGAGATGAGTAGCACGGATCCAGGGGATCAAAACACCACTGACGTCCACCTTGCGACGCAAGGGGAAGACTGTGGTGTAGCATGTGTAGTCTTCAACAACCAACAGGAAGTAGCGCTCCTGACTCGTTCCACCGATGGGGGCCAGGCCCCACACGTCCATGTGGAGAGTCTGCAGAGGAGCGGTGGTCGGAGGAAACTCGGAGGAGTGAGGAGCGGCGCGCTGCCGTCCCTCGACGCAAGGAAGACACGGCGGGGCAAGCAAGCGCGGCAGGGGGGGCAGGGTTGTGGGGAGGCCAGAGACAAGGAGACAGGAGTGCATGCTGCGTAGACGCGGCAGGGAGGGGTGACCAAGACGGTGGTGCCAGTGCTGAGTCTCGTACTCTGCACGAGCAAGACGCAGCTAACTGACCCGACGCAGACGCCCGACTCGACGCGGCCACCTGACCTGACTTAGCCACCTGACCAGGCGCAGTGGTGAGTGTGTACAGACTAGACCCAGGCTGTCGAGTGAACGTAGCCAGGTGACGGTCAGTCCGGGAGCACGTACAGATCGCCACACGTTGCCCTCCAGGAATAAAGGTATCAACCCAGACATCCTGAATGGCAGCGTTGCTCACCAAGTTCGTCGAGAACGTGGGGAGGTGGAGACCTGACGGAGAGTCGAAGGGGACTGCTGGACAAGGGAGGACCGTGGAGGCTCTCGCAACTATTGGGCCTTTAGAGGGGTCAGCCAGTGAGACTGGGACAGGTGCTGTGAGTGGTGTGACTGTGGTGCAATCACGAAAGAAGCAACGTGACGCGCCTGAGTCAAGCGTGAAAGTGTGCAAGACCTCAGCTGAGGCAAGACCTGTGGCAGTAGACGCACTAGCACCTAGAGCATCGGCAGACTCACGGGCACCTAGAGCTGCAGCAGACTCACTAGTACATGGAGCGGCAGCAGACTCACTAGCACCTGGAGCGGCAGCAGACTCACTAGAACCGAGAGTAGGAACCTCTACACAGCCAGGGACGCATCGCTGAGAAGCACAGTCGCGACGTCACTTAGGCCACATAAAACCAAAACCACCACCAGACCTCACTAAAAAACCCACTCACGAAGCTGCTGAGGGGTGGGGTCGTCCGGGAGAGGCAGTGCCTGCTGCTGTCCACCCCTGGCCGCAGCAGCTGCCGCGATAGTGGCCATGACAGACAGCAACGGTCAGGAGTAGGTCCAGCACCTCCAGCTCCTCCACCACCAGCAGCACCTCCAGCACTCCCAGCAGCACCTCCACCAGCAGCAGCAATAGCACGAGAAGCAGCAGTTTTTTTTTTTTTTTTTTTTTTTTTTTTTTTTTTTTTTTTTTAAGGGTTTAGGGTTGCGCGCGGGCTGCAGGGGCGACGCGCGGCTCGGCAGGGCGGCGCGCAGGCTATAGGGGCAGCGCCCACGGGCTGCAGGGGCGACGCGCGGCTCGGCAGGGCGGCGCGCGGGCTGTAGAGGCGGCGCGCGGCTCGGCTGGGCGGCGCCCAGGCTGCAGGGGTGACGCTTGACTTGGCAGGGCGGCGCGCGGGCAGCAGGGGCAGCGCCCACGGGCTGCAGGGGCAACGCGCGGCTTGGCAAGGCGGCGTACGGGCTGCAGGGGCAGCGCCCACGGGCTGCAGGGGCAACGCGCGGCTCGGCAGGGCAGCGCGCGGGCTGCAGGGGCAGCGCCCACGGGCTGCAGGGGCGACGCGCGGCTCGGCAAGGCGGCGCGCGGGCTGCAGAGGCAGCGCCCATGGGCTGCAGGGGCGAATGCGGGGGCTGCAGGGGCAGCACGCGGGCCACAGGGGCAGGCACGGCTGCAGGGGCAGGCATGGCTGCAGGGGCAGCACGGTCGCAGGGGCAGGCACGGCTGCAGGGGCAGCACGGTCGCAGGGGCGAGTATGGCTGCAGGGGCAGCGCAGTCGCAGGGGCGAGCACGGCTGCAGGGGCAGCGCGGTCGCAGGGGCGAGCACGGCTGCAAGGGCAGCGCAGTCGCAGGGGCAGCGCACGGGCTGCAAGGGCAGCGCGGCTGCAGGGGCAGCGTAGGAAGATTTTTTTTTTTTTTACGGGTAGGGCAGGGCGGAACGTTCGGTGGGCCCTAGGAACGATTTTTTTCTAACACCATGTTAGAATAAGCAGGCAGGAATGATGGACTAGGTAGCATGCATGAGTACAAGTACCTAACCTTAAAGTGTTGTACCCCTTATAGGCTAACGCACTATAGCCTAGAGATAACACAAACATAAAGTTTGACAGATGCCTCCCTCGGATGGCATGCCATCGGATGGGGTTTTAGTTTTTTTTTGCCCGCCGGTCAGGTCGACGGTGGTCGACGGCCGTCGACCACCGTCGGACCCCGTTGGGTTGAGACATTCCTACTGAAGTTCTGAACAAAAAGACCAATCTACTGGAGCTAGGATTCGATCCCGGGTTTTCATACTTCCGAAGACCAATCTACTGATCAGACCACTTTAACGTTAGTGTTCCTAACATACTTGTTTTATTGAATCCTTTAAATTAGGGGGACAGAGGTGCGAGGGCAAGTGGGGGGAGGAGGGGGGTTGTGGTATTCGCTTCAGGGTAAAACTCACTAAGAAGAAAGGTAACCTTGGGGTGACAGTGTGCCTTGAACGTAAACCCTGGCATAACAGGACAATCTAAGCTCTAGAAAAAAATACCCTAAGGCATCAGTGTGAATGCCAAAAATCACCCTGATTATCAGTGTATCAGGGTGATTTACACTGATAAAATTAGCTCTGGTCAACTACTGCCATGCCTCTCCTAGACCTGTGGCTCGTTCAGGGTTAGGAATGTGTATTGTGGCTTCATGGTGTTGTGCAATGCTTGCATGGGTCAATATGAAGTTATTAGTACCGGTATGCTGTGCTAGCAGATACATCTGTCAGGTTGTGTGTTGTTTTGCTAAGTGGATACCCTGGCAATTTTCTTGAACTGGTATGATACTCCACAATATATATCATACACAGATTGGTTTCTGCCCCCTTTTTTTGTAGGCAAACTCGATGTTCCATCATGCAATACAATTTTTATTTTAAGCTCAGAGCGCAGTGCAAAAATTAGTACCACTATGAGCAGCTCGATTCACGGGACAAGAAGTGTGAATCTTATTCGTTGGTAGCTGAAAGCCAATTAGGGCACATGATTTTTCTTGCTAGAGATGATTCCTCTACCAAAATGATGGTATTGTGTGAGGAGCTGAGGTAGGCTTTTGGCACATGAGACCACCTTGGAATGAGCCACACTTGATCACAATTTTCCATGGAGTAACTGATAAGAACCAGCAGCGATTACTTTGGATGCAAACACTTTGTGGCCACATGGTCGTGACATGCAGCACACATCCATGGATACGTAAGGATGACGAGAACGTGCTGCAACTATTGAACAGCCGCAGCAGACTTCTGTTGAGCAGCAATCACACAAGAGGTCAATAAAGAGCACACTACCCAATGTTTTTTCCTAATGCAAATAGAGGGCTAACTTAGCTTAGCTCCTGCTGGATCATACTTGTAGATGGGAGGGAGGGCTGTCAGAAGGAAAGAATGGGCAAGGCAGGGAAGGCAGGCAAGGCAGGGAAGGTAGGCAAGGCAGGGAAGGCAGGAAAGAGCAAGGAAGGGCAGGTAAGGCGAGGATGATGAAGGGCCAGAGGTGGCAGAGCGCCGTCACAAGCATTTGGGGCCTGCTATAACAGTCGCATACCTTGGTGCCGTGGCTGCCCAACTAGCTGCGGTTGAAATGAAAAGGGTGGGGAGGTGTGTGACGCCAGTGAGGATACTGAAGGACAGATGGTAGCGTGGGAAATAGAGGGCACTTGCTCTCATTGCTTTTGCGGTTAGAGTGTGTGTGAGGGTAGTGCAGAAGGCAGGGACTTCCCCAACTTTTCCTCCCCTCCTTCACACACACTGCATAATCCTTCATATCACTTCCTTACCCCCCACCTCACTGCCTTGTTCTCACCACCTAAACGAGTGGCAGGAGGGACATGTCACAGGAGGGATTCAAAACGAGTGGCAGTGCCGTGGCAACCCAGAAGGCTGGGGAGGAGGTAGGGCGGGAAGAGAAGAGGTTCACCTCATATCATCCCCCCCGTAATCCGCTGGAAGAGCTGGGGGGTGATGGGGGGCGTGGCGGGGGGGATGATGGAGTGCAGAAGATGGGAATGAGGAGAGATGCACGCCTTAGCGCTGGAGGGTAGGGGGGGAGATGGAGGAGAGGAGAAGCAACAAAGATGCTTGCAGAGGAAGAGTGGAGAGGTGATCACTTCTAAGGGGAAGTTACACGTGCAACTGTAGTGATCCGCCAGAAGAGCTGGGAAGGTGAGGGTGTGGTGATGTGGTGTGGGAGAGAGATGGGGGTGGGTGGGGTGGGGTGGTGTGCCACCCCACCCACCCCCACGGTATGGGTAGGTGGTGGGGGGATGCAAGGGAGAGAGAGAGAGAATGAAAGAGCATGGGCATTCAAGGTTGAGATGGGAGAAGTGACATCCTTCCCATTGCCTCCTTCCCATTTAAACAGCACCCTGCCATGATGAAAGAGCATGAACGAGCATGGACACCCTGCCATGATGCGATGTAACAACTAAGGGTGTTAAAAAGGGAAGGAGGCAATGACCTCACCCACTTCCACGATAGCTGCAAGCAGGGACTCTGGATGCGCTGGAGAGGCTGCTGAGCGCTGGAGAGGAGGGACACTTAACTCACCCACTCCCGCAATGGCCGCGAGACTGAGAGTGAGGGGGAGGGGGTGGGGTGGAAGTGCATGGGAGAGGGGAGGGTGGGAGAAGGAAGGGCGGGAGAGGAAAGAGCAGGGAACGGACTCACTTCACCATTGGACGAACTGGCCTGTTGGTCCAATGGACCGGTTTGACCAGCGGGCCTGCTGGTCCAATGGACCGATTGGACCAACTGGCCAATTGGCCTAATGGACTGGTTAGACCAATTGGACTGTTGGTCCAATGGACCAGTTGGACGAACTGGCCTGTTGGTCCAAAGGACCGGTGACCACTACCACACATGACCGCAAGAATGAGAGGCAGCGGGAGGGCATGACAGGGTGATTCTTCAACTCCTATGGGTGAAGATTGACAGCAGAGATTGTGGCGGGGCAGGCAAGGAGAGATAGGGAGAGAGGGCAGTAAGAACGGCGAGGGAGAGACAATGGGAGTCAGAGGTTGCTGGATGCACCATGAAGACCTCGGAATGGGGGAAGGGAGAAGCAACGGCAGTGGGGTACAGAGGAGCAAAACGGTAGAGCAATGAGACTGGTGAGTGATGAGGTCATTGGTTGCACCATGCCCACCTCTGGGTAGGGGGGAAAGGATGATGATGGGTATGGGGATGGAGAAGTGGAAGGCTACGTTGTAGGGGAAGAAAATAGGGGAGAGGATGGGGGAAGGGATAGGAAAGAGGACGGGAATGGAGTGTGGGAAGGAGAGACAATGACAGAGTGACGCCTACTATGCACACTTGGAGGGTGATTAGAAAAAGTGGGGGACATATGTGAAGACATAATTGTTTTGAAATGTGTGAGTGGTAAGGGGAAGTGTTGCCAATACGAGATGCAGGTGGGAGAGCTTTGGAGGGGCAGAGGGAAATTGGTGTAGGAGAGATGTGGTGAGTGATGAGAAGAGGGAAGAAGAAGGGATCGGCGTTGTACAGTGTCGGTCTCCATCAATCCCGCGTTGCCACCTTGGTCAACACCATGGTAGGGCATCCGTATGGCATGCAGCATGCATGCAGTATTGAGAACGCCGCTGCCAGGCATTCAGTCTCTCGCATGACAACCTCCAGCCTATCACGAGCATGAAACACACCTAAATAAACTCAATTACCACCTGAGAATGACCCGAGAGTAAACCGAGAACGACCTGAGAGTGACCCCAGACTGACCCCAGACTGATCCGAGACTGACCCGAGAGTGACCAGCTGTTCATAAGGAGCCTACGTTTGTCTCACCCCGCACCTCATCTCTCTGCAGTGACTCATATGTACCTGCCAAGCAGTTCAACTCAGTGTGGGAGAAGTAGGTGTGGGAGCACAAGTCAGTGTGGGAGAAGTAGGTGTGGGAGCACAAGTCCGTGGGGGAGAAGTAGGTGTGGGAGCACAAGTCCGTGGGGGAGAAGTAGGTGTGGGAGCACAAGTCCGTGGGGGAGAAGTAGGTGTGGGAGCACAAGTCCGTGGGGGAGAAGTAGGTGTGGGAGCACAAGTCCGTGGGGGAGAAGTAGGTGAGGAAGCACAAGTCCGCGGGGGAGAAGTAGGTGTGGGAGCACAAGTCAGTGTGGGAGAAGTAGGTGTGGGAGCACAAGTCCGTGGGGGAGAAGTAGGTGTGGGAGCACAAGTCCGTGGGGGAGAAGTAGGTGTGGGAGCACAAGTCCGTGGGGGAGAAGTAGGTGTGGGAGCACAAGTCCGTGGGGGAGAAGTAGGTGTGGGAGCACAAGTCCGTGGGGGAGAAGTAGGTGAGGAAGCACAAGTCCGCGGGGGAGAAGTAGGTGTGGGAGCACAAGTCAGTGTGGGAGAAGTAGGTGTGGGAGCACAAGTCCGTGGGGGAGAAGTAGGTGTGGGAGCACAAGTCCGTGGGGGAGAAGTAGGTGTGGGAGCACAAGTTCGTGTGGGAGAAGTAGGTGTGGGAGCACAAGTCCGTGCGGGAGAAGTAGGTGTGGGAGCACAAGTCCGTGGGGGAGAAGTAGGTGTGGAAGCACAAGTCCGCGGGGGAGAAGTAGGTGTGGGAGCACAAGTCAGTGTGGGAGAAGTAGGTGTGGGAGCACAAGTCCGTGGGGGAGAAGTAGGTGTGGGAGCACAAGTCCGTGGGGGAGAAGTAGGTGTGGGAGCACAAGTCCGTGTGGGAGAAGTAGGTGTGGGAGCACAAGTCCGTGGGGGAGAAGTAGGTGTGGGAGCACAAGTCCGTGGGGGAGAAGTAGGTGTGGAAGCACAAGTCCGTGGGGGAGAAGTAGGTGTGGGAGCACAAGTCCGTGTGGGAGAAGTAGGTGTGGGAGCACAAGTCCGTGGGGGAGAAGTAGGTGTGGGAGCACAAGTCCGTGGGGGAGAAGTAGGTGTGGGAGCACAAGTCCGTGGGGGAGAAGTAGGTGTGGGAGCACAAGTCCGTGGGGGAGAAGTAGGTGTGGGAGCACAAGTCCGTGTGGGAGAAGTAGGTGTGGGAGCACAAGTCCGTGGGGGAGAAGTAGGTGTGGGAGCACAAGTCCGTGTGGAAGAAGTAGGTGTGGGAGCACAAGTCCGTGGGGGAGAAGTAGGTGTGGGAGTTGGTGGAGGGGAGATGGTGCTTCCAGGAGGGGATGATTCCTGGCCTGACTGTGCCAAGGGCTTCTTAGCTTGTGGGTGCTGGGGTGGGTGGGGGTGGGGTTGGGGGTGGGGTTGGGGGTGGGGCCAGGGGTGGGGGTGGGATCAGGGTTAGGGTTGGGGGTGGGGGTGGGGGTGGGGGTGGGGGTGGGGGTGGGGGTGGGGGTGGGGGTGGGATCAGGGGTAGGGTTGGGGGTGGGGGTGGGGGTGGGGTTGGGGTTGGGGGTGGGGTTGGGGGTGGGGTTGGGGGTGGGGGCGGGGGTGGGGGTGGGATCGGGGGTAGGTTGGGGGTGGGGGTGTGGGTGGGGGTGGGGATGGGGGTGGGGGTGTGGGTGGGGGTGGGGATGGGGGTGGGGGTGGGGTTGGGGGTGGGGGTGGGGGTGGGGTTGCAAGTGGGGTTGGGGTTGGGGTTGGGGGTGGGGGTGGGGTTGGGGGTGGGAGTGGGGGTGGGGTTGGGAGTGGGGTTGGGGGTGGGGTTAGGGGTGGGGTTGGGCGTGGGGTTGGGGGTGGGGATGGGGGTGGGGGGGGGGTTGTTGAGGCTGGATTGCCAGATGTTAAGTCATGGACAAGTCGTGGTTGCACGTGCACATGGTGAGAGTGGGGTGCAGATGGTGAGAGTGGGGTGCAGATGGTGAGAGTGGAATGCAGATGGTGAGAGTGGGGTGCAGAGGGAACGGAAAGGAAATGGAAGTGAGAGCAGGTGAGGGGATAAGGGCACTGCACTCAAACCCTCCCTTCCTGCCCCTCCCTCTCTGCCCATCCCTTCCCAACCCTCTCTCCCTGCCCCTCCCTCCTTTCCCACTCCTCCCTATCTATCCCTCTGTCCTCCATCCCCACCCTTCCCCATCCCTCCGCACCAGTGAAGCCCATCAAGGGCGACGCACTACTCTTCTTCAACATGCCTCCAGACAGGTTGCCCGACCCCTCCTCGCTGCACCACGCGTGCCCCGTGGTGGAGGGCATCAAGTGTTTGGCACCCAAGTGGATTCGCATGGGGGATGTCACAGTGCCGCTGGGTGATGCTGTCATTGCCGCCTACCAAAACAGCAACGCATAGTGAGTGCCACTGAGCCTTGGTTGTGTGAATAGAACTTCTCCCTGTGCCACTGAGTGATGCTGCCACTCGCTGCACCTCGTGTGCCCTGTGGTAGAGGGCACCAAGTGGTCGGCACACCCAAGTGGATCTGCATGGGCGATGTCACGGTGCCTCTGGGTGATGCTGTGTTGCTGCCTGCCAGGACAGCAACGCGTAGTGAGTGGTGGTTGTGTGGGTAGCGAATGTAGGGGATGGAGGGGCGTTAGAATGGATGCAGGTGAGCAACATGGTGGTGCTACTGGGTGCTGCCACCTTGCCTGCCTGCCAGCGCAAGCTTGTGCACTGAATGGGGTGTGGGGCATCTGTGTGTGTGAGGGCTACATGAGTCATCGGGGTCTTGCAGGGTAGGATACAGTAACCTCCATGGTGAGCATAGAGTGTTTCTCTAGGTGCTTCTGCCCCACCTGCTTGCCTCCTGCCCTAATAGCTGACTGAACTTCATTGTGTCTTAAGGGGAGATTGACGTTTCTTGCCACACACCCTGCTCCACCCCCTCCACCCTTGTGCACCTTCACATCTGCCTCCTCCTTCCCCCCTGTGCAGCTGTGAGGCGTGGGTCAAGGAGGGCCACTGCACATCGGAGCAATACAAGGGGTACATGGTTGGAACCCCGGGGTCACCGGGGGCTTGTCGCAAGGCCTGCAATGCTTGTCAATTGTAGGGTGTAAGTCTCACGGTCGCCATTGTGGGCTGGAGCCAAAACCTGATCCATGCAGTCAAAATAGGAGATTAAGTGGAGCCATAGTTAGGGTTTGAGGTGTTGTGAGTAGCATGAGTGGCGAGAGAAATTGGCCAAAAGGGCGTTCACTATGGTGCACAAACAAGATATATGAAAGTAGAATGGGAGGTGCATCACCAATGTAACTACACTAAAATAAACAGCAAGTAGGGTATACATAACTTTAACACACCCCCTTAACCTGATTGCTGTATGAGCTTGTGAAGTCACTGAGGAGTGGAAGAAGCAGGAGAATCAGCAACGCATATCAGCCATGATAAATGCAACAATGGCAGGTGCAGGACCCGATAGGTGGGCGTGAGAGCAGGTGCTGTGGTTGCAACGAGCAGCAGGACAGCAAGGTTCAGCACCTCCTGGGGCTTGCCTACAACAGGCAGCAGTTGCAGTGATAGCGGATGGAGCTGCAGTGACCTCAGCCACGGCAGATGCAGCAGCGATAAGTGCAGGATCCGGCAGGTGGACGTGAGAGCAGACGCTATGGCTGCAACGAGCAGCAGGAGCACAGCTCAGCACCACCGGGGGAGTGCCTGCTACAAGCAACGACTGCAGATGCACGACTTGCTTCTGCCACCCCCTCACCCTCCCACTCAACCTCTCACCCTCCACCTCAACCTCTCACCCTCCCCCCCCCCCCCACATCTCCTCCCCCCCACCACGGCGGTAGCCGCGGAAGGGAGGGGGAGGGGGAGGGGGAGGGGGGGAGGGAGGGGTTTGGCTGCTGCGTCCATCCATGCGCTGGCATTGGCGACCGCCGAAGGCGCTGGCGTCCGCGGTGGCGCCGGGCGCTAGCGTCCATCCATGGCACTGACGTGCGCGATTCGGAGTGGGGCAATGGGAGGGTCATGAGGCGACGAAAGGGCCGCGCGTCTGCAGGTGGCGGCGTGGCGAGGCAGCGACGAACGAGGCCGCCGATGACCAGCGCAAATCGCGCCGTGCCAGTCGTCGCGGCCTGCTTCTTGTTGTTCACGACGTTACGAATAGCTAGGGTTTGAGGTGTTGAGAGTAGCCTGAGTGGTGAGAGGAATTGGCCAAATGGGCGTTCACTATGGTGCACAAACAAGATATATGAAAGTAGCAAAGGAGGTGCACCACCAATGTAACTACACTAGAACAAACAGCAAGCATGGTATACATAACTTAAACACATTCTTGTGCTGTAAGGTTCTGGTTGTTAGTAAAGAAGTAATCAATTCTTAAAAGTTCAGCAGTGAAAGCTTTCAAATTGGCTAACGAACAACCAATGTATCACGGTTTATTACCCCCTTTCTGTAAGGGTGTGCAAAATGGACACTCGTTTTTATAAGGTTGAGAACAAGGTTCGTCAGTTTGATGTCTAGAAAGTATCGCCTCATGGTTGTGCAGTCGATTGTACTGCACCGCTAATGTGAGCGGGTTCCTACAGCCTCTTGCCAGGCAACCTTGAACCGCACTAAAATGCATCCAGCCGCAGTCTAACATACTGAAACGTATTTCACCACGCGAAGCTGATACGAGGGGTTTCTGATACAAGGTGTAGGTAGGAACACCCTCTGTGAGGCACGCAGCTTTGATGCTCGAACTTGTCAACCGGTAGCCACAGGTGCGTACCAAATTTGCAATTTTGAGGTCTTCTGAGAAGGAGTCTGCTCATACCCAGTAAAAAGTTGCTAGGTATCGTTAATGTTATAACACCAATGCACTCTGAAATATCGTACCTGCCGCCACCCGCCTGGGCACTCCGTCAGGTTCTTAGTCTTCCGTCTTCCACTGGCCTTACTCCGCCTCTTTTGTGTCCTCCGTCTTACTAGTCACAACCGCAGTTACTGCCTGTCTCTCCACTGCCTGCTCCTTCTCCTTACCCTGCGCAGACGGGCTCCCTGGCAGAGCGTCATGAGCCTGAGTCTCGTCCTGCCTCCCCTGTTTGCACTGTCTGTCGTACTTGTCGTCCTAGTCCTCCACCTGTCCCCAGCACGCTCACTATGGCACTTCGTCCTTCCACTGTTCCACAACATATTGCCCTGCCGTCTCCTCCCACGTCCTCTCTTCCTAACGTTCCTGACCCTGAGTCCGACCTTGCTCGTGCTGCTAGTCCGACTGTCACTCGTCTCCTCGCCACTTTTGTCTCTTCCTTTCGTCTGCTACTGTTCGTCTCGACTAAGTCGCCAGTCTTGTTACTTAGTCTGAGTCTGTCTGTCCTCCGTCCGTTGGGGGTGAGCCTGCCCTTGGCAGTGATGTTTCTTCACCCGTAAGTCTCTCGACAGAGATGGCTTCCTGGAAGTCCACAAGCACCTAAATCGACGAGGTTCCCCCTTCTCGGGCGAACATAGTCGATGGCATGTGGATTTTCAGAGTGAAGCTGCCTTCAAGGCACGTTACGTTGCTCAAGGCTTCAGTGAGCGACAGGGGGTCGACTTCTTCCGGACCTTCTCTCCCACCCCAAAGATGACTACTCTTCTCGTAGTCATGTTGCAGCACAACGTGACTACGAGCTACACTCCTTCGACTTCTCCACAACTTTTTTGCAGGGCAGCCTTCACGAGGAGATCTGGCTGTGCCATCCACCTAGCTTCACTGGGTCGTTTCCTGAGGGTACCCAGTGGAGCCTACGGCGGCCAGTCCACGGTCTTTGCCAAGAGCCCCGCAAGTGGCACGATACACTGAGGATGACACTTGTGGCTCTTAGGTTTGCTCTTTCGACTGCTGACCCGTCACTGTTTCTGTGCACCAACCCTTCCCTGTTGAAGCTCTACATCCTCATATACGTCAACGACTTGGTCTTTGCTATTACCGACACTGAGGCGCTGGCCCTTGTGAAGGCGGAGCTGCGGAAAGGGCACCCTTGCACGGACCTAGGTGAGCTGGGCAACTATCTTGGCTTGCAGATCACTTGAGACAGAGCAAGGCACACCATCACTCTGACTCAGTCACACATAGTGCAGCAGGTCCTTCAGCGCTTCGGCTTTCAGTTCTCCTCGCAACAACCTACTCCTCTGCCTACGGGCCACTTGCTCTTAGCTCCATCTTCGGGCGAGTCCGTAGAGCCGAGTTGTCAGCATCCAGAGCTTGTGGGCTGCCTCATGTACCTGATGACCTGCACTCGACCTGACCTCGCGTACCCTCTCAGCATCCTGCCACGCTACGTTGCGCCCGAGAGACATCGACAAGAGCACTGGCGGGCTGCTAAGAGGGAGTTGCGTTACCGGTGCAATACATTGGGCATGGGGCTCGTGTTTGGAGGACGGGGTTCAGTGGTACTCACAGGACACTCCGACACTTCTTGGGCCGACAACCAGGTGATTCAGCGGTCGTCCTAGAAATACTCTTTCAGTATCAGCTCTGGTTCTATCTCGTGGAGGTCCACTCATTCTTCTTCTGTTCTTGGTTCCATCTGTGAGGCCGAGATCTACGCTGGGGCTATGGCTGCACAGGAGTTATGCTGGCTGACCTACCTACTGACCGACTTGGGTGAGCGGCCTCGTTCTCCTCCAGTTCTATACGTCGACAACAAGGCCATGATTGCCTTGTGTTGGGAGCAGAGACTGGAGCACAAAACGAAGCACATTGCTCTTTGTTACTTTCTTGCTCGAGAGTTGTAGCAGCGGGGCTAGCTTCGCCTTGCTTACATGGCCTCTCGGGTCAACACTGCTGATGTCTTCACCAAGGCCCTTGGGTCTGGTGATTATCAGCGTTTCTACACTGCTCTAGGCCTTGTGCCTACTCTGCCTCACCTGCTGGTTGCTTGACTTTGTCTTGTACTGCCATTTATACATGTATATATATAAATATATATATATATTCTTATATTTATAGACATGCATGCTTGCTTTGTGGAGATAACTCTATCAACGGGAGCTAGACTACGGGTTAGGCACGGATGCTCGTGTGATCTCTGCGTTCGTTCACTTAGTCGTTTAGTTGTGCTTGAACTACTTATTGGTTCACGGGGGAATTAGGCAAGAGTTCCACTAGCAAAAGTTTACATCAATGATTCAGAAAATGATGGCAACAATGTTGGCATGCAAGTCTACATCAGACCTAGCAAAGCAACTGGTCGACCTCCAGTGCAGCACGGTCGACCACGTGCCAGCACGACTTGGTCGACCGCGCTCCAGCAAAGCAAAGTCGCGGCTTGCCAATGTTGAAAGTCCA